ATTCCATGGAAGGAGCCCACATCTCATCTAAGGGCATGACAACGGAAATCCTCTCCACATAAAAGGCACTCATGCAATGGCCCTCTGCATCTTGCCAACCATTCTCCTGTCAGGCATTATGCCTCTACCAAGATGTTTATCGCATTTGGACCAACTGTTGAAAGACATGTCACAATTCAGAATTTAAGGAAAATTGATCCAAATTCTGAAACTAACAGACATATGTACGAATGAACTTTGATAGCCATGCAAACTTTCTTCTGTATGCCAAAAAAAAATGAGAGATGCTGTTACCATAATTGTATTGCATTGTTTGCTTCCCCAAAGGAATGAAATTCCATACAAACCTGGGCTTTTAAACTGATCCGGGCTGGGAAGGTGGTGGAGGGGGGAGTTACTCGCTGAAGCAGGGTGCTCGCTACGAAGCATCTGAGCCACCCGAGGCCCCATGGAATCATAGTCCGCATACGATAATGGAGCCCGTTGGTCACCGGGCGGAGAATAGAAACCATAATCGGGGATCCCTGGAGATACAGTGACTCTATCATTGCAGATACTAGATTGGTGCTGATTTTCAATATTAAAAATGTACTTTTTTTTTTACAGTTATAATCATCGAAACACAAGACAAATATTAAAAAGTAGTGTTTTGAAAACAGAATGGTTCATACATGTTCCCAATACCCTTGCTGTTTTACTCAATTTTGCTGATAGAAAAATAAGACTGGGTATAAAACAAGGAAACTCACCACCTGGTTTACTAGAAGCCTTTTTCCAGAGCAGGAAAAATGATGCATGAGAATGAAATATTGGCCCTACTGATTAAAATAATATGGAATACATTGCAATAGAGAACTGAAGGAAAAAGCTAATTAAAGCTAATTTTCAATGCCTGTGAAAATTTCCTTATCCCTCGCCTACAGAAAATCTCCCATTTATCCACATATATATAGATTCATATGAGATATGCATTTAGACATCCATAATATCCCTACCAAAAACATGTGCTTAAGTCAATGTGTGAACACAAACCTTTCTTAACCACATATAGTAAATATATCCTTCGCCTGATTTAGCTTACCTCAATTGCCCTGAAGTTCTGGATTCTCCAAGACATCCTCTTTTAATACTATATCATTTAGGCACTGCAGTTAGTTTACTATACTATCTCACAAGCCACAGGAAGAGAACTTCTTCTCAAGTCATACTTAGAACAGTAACGACCATTGCTTTAATAAGATGTGTCAGTTTAAGGTGCCTTCACCTTCAATCAATTGATTTGAGTCAGAGTAAAAAAAGGGAAAGATGAATTTTCTGAACCTGCATATAATCTCAAGATTGAGAACTTCTGAGAAAATAAATACATCAAGAACAAAAATCATAGATGAAGCTGAGCTCCTTTTTTTAATCTTAGAAAAAGGGAGAAAACACCCAAAATGATAAATGCTACAATTTGGTCAGATTTCGGATATTTCATTTAAACTCAAAATGGTGCATGGGGGGTGGGGTTGGAATCTTAATTTTTGAAGAACAATTCTCAAGTAGTTTGTGAAATATACTTTTGCATAGATTTTAATGAAACAGATTACCTGTTTATTCCCAGAGTTTAAGCAAATTTGTGATGCACAAGAATGGCTGATTATCTAACACCTGGATGGAAAATGTACACACTGCTATTGCTCTTGTAATCAGCAAAGGCTTCTCTAGCAGCTGAAGAGCTTCTCTATGCAACTGCTGGGTAAGGACATCTGTTGGTTGAAGGTCAAGTATTGCCAATATTATTCAAAGTGTTGGCTATCGTTTATAAAGCCCTTCAGGACATAGGGCCAGATTATCTGAAGGACTAGCTCCCATACTTTTAAGAGCCAACGAAGTGGGTAAGTTCTGGGTCCCCTTGATTGAACAGTTTCAACTTTGGGGACAGAGGAAATGTGCCTTCTCCGTTGTGGTGCCAGGTGTAGAGACTAGGGAAATTGTCCTTGATGAAGATTTGTTTTTTTTGCCTAGGCAAAAAGAACAAAATCATTTTTAAGTCCAGAAAATGTTAGGAGGCTGCTTGAACAGGGCTTCCCTTATTCCCTGGAGGAGGAGGAGGAGGAGGAGGAGGCTAAGTGTAATCAGACTTGCAATATTCTGTTATTATAGCTAATCTCACTAAACCTCCCTGTAGAATTGATTTCATAGTCTGGTCAAGGCTGACATCTGCCCTCTGGAATAAGATCCCCTTGATAGCTTTCTGGAACGCATTAAAAGTCCTGACCTTGAGGTAGGGTGATGAAGCCCCTCATTAGATATGTTTGTCAAATGCCATGTAATTTCCGGGATATGCAATTTTGTTCACTACAGTTTTTCTCCTTATTTTGTTGTAATTTGTGTTGTTCTCAGGGGTGGGTTTCTACAGGTTCTCACCTATTCGCTAGAACCGGTTGTTAACATTCTAAGCAGTTCGGAGAACCAGTTGTTAGAAGAAATTACTGGCCTAATCCTGTAAGGAAGGCAGGAAGGAAACATTCTGGGGTTGCTTACAGAAACTGCCTCTCCGTTAACCCTTATTACATTCTTGGCAGGACTAGACTTCCTGTCTCAGGAACTTCTCTGGAGTTTTTTCCCTTCCTTTGCTGGTATTTTGCTTGTGTGGAGTGACCATTCAAAGTTACAATGGCACTGAAAAAAGTGAATTATGACCCTTTTTCACACTTACAACTGTTGCAGCATCCCCACAGTCATGAGAGGCCAGGCGAGGAGATGCGTGCCTCAATGTGAGTGATGTTGAGCTGGCCACACCCAGCCAGTCACATGACCACCAAGTCATGCCCACCAACTAAGCCACGCCCACAGAACTGGTTGTTAAAAAAATTGAATGCCACCCCTGGTTGTTCTTATATAGTTAGCAGCTGAGTCATGTGATGTTGAAGTAAAAAAAAAAAATCAAATGACAATCCTGGAAAGATCAGAATAGGGAAAAATACGTAACATATTTTTTTTGGTGGGGGGAGGAAGGGAAGTGAACAATTTGGAATAGTACTTCCTTTCTGCTTTCATTTAACTATGCTACTGAAACATTTCTCTTTTTCTAAATCCACGTTGTACTGTATTCAAAGGATGCATTGGCTTTATAATTGGTAAACAGTCTCATAGATAGTTATTTAAATCTCAAACACATGTACAAATAATTCCCATCTCCCATAAGTACATTTGAGTCAAAATGAACTAGTCAGAATTATTTCCATGCCAGCTTTAATATCAAGTAGCACCTTTTGGTCCTGCCTTATGTTCCTGAAAGAATTGACAGACTCGATTTCAACTATTTCTCTTTTCAATTGCATTAGCTCTTGGGACCACAAAATTGCCTGTAGGTTGCTTTTTTAAGATCATGCTGCCACATGGGATATGTCTACTCAGATGGATGAAAATAATAGTCTCAACTGGGGAACTGTTTACATCTATAGCCGACTTCTAGGGACCTCCAGGGGACACTTAAAAAGTGGGTGTTCCAATCTTAGCTCAGCACAAGCCTAACAAATAGAGATTGCATAGACACAACCTAAAATTTTCCCCTGTGTCTGCCCAACAAGTTAACTCTTCTGTCAGTAGTCATTATATGTAATTTTCACTGTCTGAATTCTGGTTTCCTCTGGAGTCTCCTTTTGAGGGATTGTCACAGAGAGGAGGGCGGGGGGTCAATTCTCCAAAGCACCTGAGGGCAGAATGAGAAGTAATAGGTGGAAGATCATTAAAAAGAGATCCAACCTAGAATTAAGGGAAAACTTCTTGGCAGTGAGAACAATCAGTGGAATAATTTGCCTTCAGAAGTTGTGGGTGCTCCATCACTGGAGGTTTTCAAGAAGGCACTGGACAACCATTTGTTCAGAATAGTATAGGGACTGGAAGGTCTGTTCCAACTCTGTTATTGAATATTCTAGTAGTTTCCTTTTCCCTATAACCAATGGAAACATGCATGCAGACGCACACGACTGTGCAAGTGATTTGCTCAAAAGAGGAATGTGAAGCCCTGCCTGGACCACTGCTGGAGGACAAAGCAAGATTGAGGAAGACCCCATATTGTTGTAATGCATTTTGGCAAGGAAGATCACACTGACAACAACCTGCTGACATAGCGCTCAGTCTCTGAATCTCTCCTCACACTTGCCATAAGCAACCACATGCAATTTGGCAGCCTTTGCACCATCAGTGTTTATGATAATAGCCATGTGTGCTTGAAAGCAGCAGGAAATTTTCAATATAACTATCATTAAGACAAAATGTTTTAAATCAAAGCCATTACTGGTACTGAGAGTTAAAGCTCACAAGATTAGGCTGCTTTTTATCTTTATGAAAAATTCATAGAACAAGCTGCCAAACAACATCTTCTTGCTCGAGAGAGTAAATGATATAATAATATTTAATGCTGCCGATACAGATGAAAGTGGAGGCATAAGTTGCATGCTGTAATGTGTACATCAGGGAGACTATGTTGAACAAGGAGCTCTGACACTTAGCACATGTAATGTTGGCTAGACAAGCAAGAGGGAAGTCTGCTGTTGCCTTCCCCAACTTTTAGACTTCAAAGATCAGCGGCTGCTCTGCACTTCCCTTGCAATTTGGTTGCAAATGTACAGCTGCAGTGCAAAGGTGGAACTAAATTCTCCAGGGCTTATTCAGAAAATAGAATGTAAGAAACACTGAAGCACTTGAACAAAAACCACCCAAAACACATGCGGCTTTGTTGGCCAAGAACCAGGGGTTTTCAAGAGCCCTGTAGACCAGGCACTCAAGGCCTTCAACTGTTTGGAGGGGAAAATACATATCAATTTAAGCCATGCTACCAAAATACAGGTAGTTCTCATTTAGTGACTGAAAATTATTCCAGCAACTTGGTTGTTAAACAAAATGGTCACTAAATGAACACATAACTGACAGAGAAACAGAGGGAGAGAAAGAGAGAAAATCCTGCAAAGATCACTGGTTTTATCATCCAGATGCTTCCCTGAAAAGTGCTAACCACAAGTTAACAAGCTCAGCTTTGTGACCTTAATTAGGTTAGAACCTTCCTCCGGACGTGCAGCTGCTGCCTGAAACAGACCAGACCTTAACCAGTTTCACATTGAAGGCTTTTGTTGTGCATTTGTTGGAAAATAAATTGTTTATTATCATATTTGCAAATTGTCCTTTTTTGAAGCAGTGGCTAAACAAAGATTACAAGTGAGTACCTTGTTGATCTTTGATGTCCTTTCCACTGGCTGTCTCTGAACTTCTTTAGTGGCACTTTATTGTCGAGGAAGCTCTGATACTGCTTCTTTGTGGATGTGATAGGTTGCTAACAAAGTCAAAGGGGAGTGGTCATTATCACTGTTGTCTTAAGGAAATGATGAACTCCAGGAACTGAGCTACCTCCCCACTCAAGTCTTTGGCTTGCTTGTGAGCAACACTATAAGCTCACTGTACCACAGGGCAGAAAAAAAATCTATAAATATGTATCATCATACATTATTCTGCATGTCAGCATTAAAATGTGTTGGAATAATTTAAAGCTAAGATTACTGTAAGTAGCATTCATTTACACCTGCAGAAATGTTCTTTTTGCATTTCACTCCTGAGATAAAATTGAAGATCCACAAGTGAAACAACTGGCACTGTTCAAAAGTAGCTTAGTTTACTTTCTACCATACACCTTATGTTTTTGAATAGCTAAGCCCTTCAGGGAGCTGCTCGGCCGCTGATTTGGAGTTCATAATGTTGGAGGAACAGGGGAGCATTTACAGAGATGGAATTCAAGTTAATGGGAGTCTGACAGAAAGCATATTTTGGTAATATAACTGATTGACTGAAGATCTAGGTCAGAAAGGTCTGTGTTTTCTTATAGATTCTTGCAGGACAACTGTGTTAAAAGTATTTTGCATAAAGTATAGGACAATGAATTGTAGAAATGGACAAAAAGAAATTCATATTGCAAGCTGTCAAGTTCCATCTACAGGGGTCTACCAATGTTTGGCTCAGAGTCCAAAACAGCAATCTGGTAGAGAAGAAAGGAGTTAATTATTGGACCGTGATTCTTCCTTGTGTGGTTTTTCTGAAGTTGGATCAGCATTTATTATAGTGATAAATTATTCTTAGCTAATTTGTCATAAAATAAATAGCATCTGGCATTACTCCAAAGCTCTACTAAGACAAAGCAATTCTGCTGCAGAGAGAGTGCAAAAGAAATGTTGCTTTGTTAAGCCAGGTCACAAGAGTTCTTCTAAAGCAATTATTAAAAAATGCAGCTATTGCTAACAATAGCAATAAAGCAATCTCTTTAATAGATGCTTTAGCAAAATTTAAATTTGAGCAACTGATAAAAGAGTGCTAACAAGTGATTGGGGACACATCCACAGAATACTTGATGGACACAGGTTTTCTTTTTAAACCAACTAAAATCAATCAAAATCATTTTTCTAGGGCTTACAATTGCTCTTGATGGCAAATAAGCGTACCTCTCATCAAAATGAGGATGTTTTACACAAAACTAGTATTTAGACATTTCTCCTTATCAGAAATATTACACAACGACATCCGCACAAGAAGCCAATCCCATCACACTCAAGACTGGACCAAATTTTGCCAAGAGAAACAGCAATCAAGGAGCCAATTTTTTTCTCGCAGCTTTTGACAAAAGATTTTCCACTTGAGGGGTTCATCTTTAATCATTATAAAAGCACAGAAGTTTAATCCATTTTTGATGTAAATGCTAATAACTGCGTGTCCTTGAAGTTCAAAGTGGTCTTTGTGCATGGCAGTAATTAGCCAAGCAAGGTGGTCTCTGCCTTCTGCTTCTAATGACATCCTTAACAACAAACAAATGTCAGCCTTACAAAAGCGGTAACATTTTTTTTTTTTTTTGGCAAGTAGTTTTGGAGGATAAAAGAGATTTCATCCCCAAGCTCTATGCTATCAGTCTGAAATGATCTAGAACAACTATGCCAGAAGTTTTCAAAAGCCAGAAAATGCAAAACAGATGATTCTTCTTTCCAGTAGATTTGTAGAGACATTAATTAATATGGGAGATATATTGGATTCTACAAGAATTGTAGAATCAGTGCCACCTTTTACAAAGATAGGAGTGAAACTATTGCAATGTGACACCTCAAATCCTCAGCTTTTGCACATCTCCAAAAATGACAGTAGGATGAACAGCATCAAAAGTCCCTAAGAGAGCAAGGAATATCAACAAAACCACGGTTTCCTTGTCTCTTTTTTCCAGTACAGCAGAGAACGTCTCTTGGAATGAGCAAGGCTGCCTTTGTGCAAGAGCCAAATGTAAATTGAGACTGGAAATGACCCAGATAATCCATGTTCTCACAGAGACCATGGAACTGCAGGGCCTCTGTCTTTTCTCCCTGCTAGAGATGGATTGATGAGCATAAGACAATAGTTGTCCAAGATGGCTTGCACTAGTGATAGTTTCTTAAAACGTTTCTTAAAAAGAGCCTCATCATTATCTGCCCCAGAAAGGTCCTAATAATCTCAGAAATCACCGGCCAAATAGTGTTCTTGAGGTCCTTATCTGCCAAGCCAGGGAGGGATCCATCAGGCAAGAAATGGGGCAAACAGTTACAGGTACTATCACATCCTCAAGGGCAAAACATGAAACTGTCCCCAAAAGCTCAAGTACAACACAATACCTATGCTTTTATCTAAGATGCATAGCCCAAACAATGGACAAATTGCTGAATGAAATCGGTATAATACTGGTACAGGGGCATGTTATTCAATCAACAGTGTACAATCAGAGCAAAGCGTATTTTTTTTAATTGCCATGGTATATACATCACAACTGATCAGATTCAATCCTCATCTGTATTATAGTTATTCTTAATACTTTTCTTCTGAACACTTAGAAATGACTTGTATAAAGCACCTGGGAAATCAAATCCAGACATTCAGCCCTTCATGTCTTATCCTCCCTTGTCTTCTTTGAAGTGGACAGGTTCCCCCACACCCCTGTTAAGGGTCACATTCTCCTTGTAATAATCTCTTCCATCATCTTCTATGTCTCGCAAGAAGCAATAGGCAGGGAACAAGCCTCTTACCAGGTGTCATTTTTGCGAAATTAAGGGGACTCTGAAATTGATCCAAGTGCCACACATAAGTGTTTTCTCAGAAAGAGGTGGTTTGAGACTTTACCTTCCTAGGACTGAGAGACTGGCCTAAGATCACCCAGATGGCCTCGGGACTAAGGTGGAACCAGAAGTAGCCTTAACCGCTACACCACAGGCTCTCTTTAAAGGACATAACTTTAATAAAAGCGGTTCTCTCTATGTCTAGCATTCATTTTTCTTCCTCATGATCTCACTTTTCAAACCAGGATTGTTCATTTTGTTCAATACGGGTGGAAGCACCTAAGCAACTTCAGCTGACTCCAAAAATACTAAGCAGATTTAGTACTTAAATGGAGACAATCAGGGAACCCTAGCGATGTTGGCAAACTGGGAACAACTTGATAAAGCTTCTGGAAGTTGGCAAGATCAAATCACTTACAGTATATATTGTTACCTAGAAAACATGAATGCATGCGGCCATATTGTCACTAAGAGTTGAGCTTGACTGAAAATACATTTTTGGGGGATATCTACATTATTTCTTTCAACTGTCAAGTCATATTTTCTGTTCCTTTTATTTCTGCATTTGCTTCGTATTATGAGCTGACAGTTTTATTAGGAGCCATCATTGATTTGTCCTTTTTTGGGGGGGGGGCAGTGTGGCCCTTTGTTTCACTATGTTTTAATTTTTATCTATGGGCCCATTATGTAAAGAAGAAATTATCTTGAAAATATGTGGCAATTGTTGGCTTGGAAAAAGCAAGAAGGTGTGAGAAACGCATGCCTGCCACACCTTGACATGTTTTGATATAAGAGGAAGGGATAGAGAAACACTTACAAGCTTTCAAGATTCTGTTCTAACGGCCTATAGAAGTAAAGTGGATTTCCAGCAGTTCTTATGGTGTCTATATGACCCATGCATCTTTCCTCAAGTGGGTCTCTCTTTTAACTTTTCTAAGTCTTGCTTTTGAACTCAGCCAAACTGACAATAGCTTCCCTAACAGAAGCTAGATAGCAAACAACTTTATTGCCTAAATTTGCTCAATAGCAAGAAATATCTCTGGCAGGAACATAAGCAGACGAACAAAGAGGCCTGTGCAAAAGAGACAGCACAAACCTTCATTACAGTGAACAATCTCAGCTTCTCTTCAAATTACTTCTGTAAAAACCTTAGGTTGCCTAGATTCTTTCCCTTCCACTCCAGAGCCAATCCTTTTCCTTTCTCATTAACGTTTTGAATTGATTCTTGTCTACTTCTATTTAGCAAGATCTCACAAGTTTGCCTTGAATTCTAAACAAAAAGCACTGAGTAGCTCTGAGGTTGGGGCCTATCACATACCTTTGACATCTAGCCTCTCTATTTTCAGCTACCTTTTTTTTTATTAAAAGCAAAGTAATGATCCAGCACAGAATAAGCCTTGCTATTTATTACAAAGCCGCAAAATAAGCCATTTTTCTTTTTAACTCCACATTTTACTTTTTCACTCATATGTCTATTCCTAGTTTTTTTTAACCATTGGTGACCAGATTTGCATTAATTGTTTATCACAGCCTGGACAGGCCTTTTATTAATATTAATGAGGGACTGGGAAGAAAGAGACCCTTTATTTTTAGCCTACTCTAATTGCGTAGTAATTATTCATCTACAAAACAAATGAGCCGAACTCCATTGCTATGGTAACTGAAATTCTGGCCTCCCACTGTAACGCATTAACAGGCTATCATCCCTGTTATATTTTAAATTGAACCCTTTTGTACAATAGTAGAAAAATAGGCAACTTAAAGTAGAGACTTTGTTCAGCCGTTATGTTAATTTCCAATGCTCATTGTTAGGGAATGGCTTTCCCTAGGATTGTGGCGCATCAAATTTTCTGTCTCTGGTTGGGTGCACAGAACCAAACGCACTCATTTTCAATATGAAAATTCCCCACGTGGTTTTCATAGTCAAGGAGGACAATGATTTGGCTCATTTTGATCTGAAAGTTTCTGTTTTTGTAGGTCTCCAAAAGAAGCATTGGGACAAGCTGGCCCTCTACAAGTGGCCATGGAGAAATTAAAATTTGTCTTGCACAGGTGTTACAAAAGTGAGTGTGATAAAGACGGAAGTGTGCAATGAAAGTAGGAGTACCTGATCTAATGGCAATCAAGTATAGGAATGAAAACTCCTCTAATTTAAAAGGGCATGGAAAATATCAGCTTCTCCAAACTGGGGTAGTTCCCAAATTAAAAACGACAACAAAGAACTAATAATTACTTATTATGATCAAGTATTCAAGAACTAACTGCATTCTCTTGGGATTAAAGGATGTGAGTCTTTGAATAAGAGGCAGTTTGATGAAGAGATTAAGGCATCAGGTTCAGAAACTGGAGACTGTGTGTTTTACTCTCGCTCAGGCACGAAACCAATTGGGTAACCTGTGGCTAGTAACTCTCTCTCAGCCTTAGCAAGAAGGAAAACTGCAGGGATTTGTCCAGCAGCCGCCAGGAATCAACACTGTCTTTAAAACATTCCAAAGAAACAAACCAACCCATCTCTGACTAAAAAGGAGATAGGAAGAAAGAAGAGGACATCATTCTCTTTGAGATTTGCTGTGAGCTTTCAAAGAAGTCTCTGGCCATCTACTCTAGGGAACAAAATGTACAGGTGGGCTTTGGCCATCAGGTTTTTTTTTGGGGGGGGGGGGGGAAGAGGGGACCACTAGAAGATGAGCATTTTCTCTCTCCTTCCAGCAGAAGATATTTCCCATGGACCAGTCTCCTACATCCTAGCATTTTCCAGAAATGTTGCATTAGGAAACCACTGAAGACAATAGGATTTGGCTATACACCCCCATTACCTGTGCTGATTGGAGTGATAGGTTTGGCAGTCTAACCTGAATTGGGACACAGGATTAGGGATGTTTTCTAGGCCAGGGGTCCCCAACCACCGGTCCCAGGACCAGTACCGGTCCGTGGATCATTTTTTACCGGGCCACAAAGCTTGGGCGCTGCCATCTTGTTTCAATGGCGCTTCCGGGTTTTTGGTTGAAGTGCTTTCGGGTTTTCAGTTGGAAAGCGGCGTTTGGGTGCTCGCGCCTTAGTTTCGTCGAAGGCATTTTGAATGAAGAGCCGTCCCGATGGCGGTGGAGTCTCGCGTTACTCAGGTACTAGTCCGTGGAAGAATAAATAATCGTGAAACTGGTCCCTGGTTCAAAAAAGGTTGGGGGCCACTGTTCTAGGCCACCAACTGTGGTGCTTTGCTAGCTATAATCAGAAGAAAGGGGCTGCCACAATGTTTCTGAAATAAAAATCCCAATAAAAATATTATGAAATAATTCAAAGGCACAGTTCCACTATCTTTGCCCTCACAACCACACAAGTACAATTTCAAAGAGACTCCAGAGATGTTTTTATAGTGTTTCTGTTGTTGTCTGAAGGTGGGAGTGGGATGTCTTCCCTGAGAAGAGGGTTAGGCCTACAGTACTGAAAGGCCAAAACACGAGTCTCAAAGCAACGATCAGAAAACCAGTACATGAGGGTGACTCTCTGGAATCATTTGGTGAAAGAAAATCATAGCGTGTAATAAAAAGTAGTGAATAACAAAGGCTTCAATTAAAGCTCTAAAATTGCTGACCTAGTGTAAAATTGCTACGCCAGTGTAAAAAATGAGAAACAAATAATAAACAGCAATCAATCAATTGGCTTCTGAAGCTAAAGCGTTGGGCTGGACTTTTGGGTGTATAGAGTATTTTTCAGTACAAAGAGCCACAATGGCTTCTTTGTGTGATCTCAGGAGCTTCCTCTGGTAATGAATGTTGAAAATTGTACTGCGGTTAGGAAGGTTCTGCATAAAAAAAATGCAAGTCCTAAAATAGGTTTGATACAGCATTAAAGACATGAGAAGAATTCAAAACTCCTTCCCCAAATTCCAGGAAAACAACAACAATCTAAAGGCACTCCTTTTATCTTCAGTCTTCCCACTCTGGTCCTTAGGCTGTTCCTAAATGTTAAGGGCAGTTCCCAGCAACCCTCCACCCCCTGTTGTTTTTCATCTCGATAGAGATGTCATGAAAGATCTAGATTTAAAGATGTCGTATTTACCATCCCAGACATTCACTCTAGCAAGACTGAAATGAAGAGGTGTAATTTGGACTGAAGTAGTTGACCCAAAGCAATGTTGTGGCTGTACTGTGCCTAGACTTCAGTTAGGCATTTGATAAAGGAGATCCACTAAGCACTGATGATGTTATTTAGTTTGGGTAATGAAATGTCTTCAAGAAAACAAGCAAGCTCAGAGAGCACCAAGGACCCCTCAAAGGAGACACAGCCTCCTTCTTAAACTGGAATAATGTGGCATGACTACTATATAGTAGTTCCATTACCCGATAGATGCACAGCTGGGTAAACAACTGTAGTCAATGCACGGTCTTTAATTCTGGTACTTTAAAACTAATGACTTATATGAGGGAAGAGAAGTGATGCATAAAATTTGTGGGTGATACAAAGCTGGAGTGGCGTGGATTGTTAATATCCCAGAACACAGGCTCAAGATGCAAAAGCATCTTGATCGATTTGAGCATTGAACCCAATTCAAGAAATATTCTTCAGTGGTCAGAAATGCAAGGCACTGCACATAGGCAGGGACCTCCAGATGCATGGGTGTAAGATGGATTCCTAGCTTAGCAGTCATACTTGCAACAAGAATCTGGATGTCTCAGTAGACCACAGATTATGCACGAGTCAGCAATGTGCCACAGCTGCCAAAACATCCAGTGGAGTTTGGACTGTGCTAACCGAGATACAAAGGCAAGATCAAGGAAAGAGTTAGCATCACTTTATGTTGTACTGGTAAGACTGACCCTGAAATACTCCCCAGTTCTGGTCACAATGAAGAAGAGTGCAGGTGGGCTTCGAGGCCAAACCTTACAAAGAGCAGTTAAGGCAATTGGTTATGTTAAATCTGAAAAAGAAAAAGTAAAGGGGAGGCATGATAGCAATTTTCCAATATATGAGGGCATGTCACCAAGCAGAGGACATGGCTTTACTCTCCAGAGTACCCAAACTTAAGACAGGTAAAAGAGGATCTATGGGTAGAGGCTTTACAGAGGAAGATCCAAACCCAAAAGGAGGAGTGTGAGAGCTATTAAGCAATGGAACAGCCTGTTTCCTGAAATCATGGGTGCTCCATTACTGGAGGTTTTCAAGAAAAGATTGGACAGCCATTTCGCTTGGATGGTCTGAGGATTCCTGCCTTAGACAAGGAATTGAAATAGAAGTCTCTAAGATTCCCTCTAAGTCTATGATTCTCCTGCATAATCTGATAATCTATCTGAATCTCTGCGTGCCTCCTGGTCTAAATGGTTTGAGGCAAGTTAAGCATGGTTCCGAGATGAAAGGCTACAGATGACCTTCTACCTTGCACCATGGAGTATTTTAACTTACTGCACCTGTGTATGGTTTGCCAATTGCACAATGGCAGATAGGAAAGCACTCCAGAGGGTTAAAGTCATTGCCCAGAAGATCACTGGTTGCCCTCTCCCCTCTTTGGAAGAGCTTTATAGCTTCCGCTGCCTTAAGGAAGTTCAAAACATTCTTAAATATCCAACTATCCTGGGCACCCTTTTTTTGAACTATTACCATCTGGGCAGATGGTACAGAATAATAAAAACAAGGACAAATAGGCTGAAAAACAGCTTCTATCCCAGGGCAGTAACTATATTGAATTCTACTGTATAGTGCAATATTAATGCAATATAGAATGCGAAGGATGTGTTTGTGTTTTATTTTTTATAATTAGAAAATGGCATTTAATTTCATTGTACAAGGTGCAAGGACAATAAAGTAAACTAACTACAGATATTGCCTGGGCTGGAAAGCACCAATAGTACTGGAAAACCATTTCTATATGTAAACGCCATCTAGTTTGGTCAGCTGCTATATTTGTTCCTGTGAGGGGACTTACACAACGTTGTAGAGGATCACCATATTCAGGGTGGTCAATTTAAATTAGAAGCAATTTTTGGAAGGACTAGTCGGAAACAGCTATCCGTTTCCTAGAAAAAGGAACTCTTCAGCATTGCTCCATCAAGAAAAAAATTAGTTATGTGAACTAGCTTTTCCAGAGCTTACTAAGAACAAAGTAAAAATCGTGTAGTGATTTTTGGTCTTTTTAGTTACAGGGCTATTCAGAAACATGTGAAGTGTGTGAAATGAGGCACCCTGCAAGTCAGAGCAGATTGCATAGGAGGAGTGTTTGCCCATTGACAATAATTCCACTGATTGAAATGGCTATTAAAAGTTAGTGCCTACATCATTAAGGATTTACTTATATCATATTTAAGTCTGCACTCCAGGGCTGGCCACTAATTATGCTGGGAATGATTTGTCAAGTGTCCTGGCTTTTGAATTAAACCCAAAAGTGATTAAAAGCTAATGTTTTACCCATCAACAGAATCTACTGAAATATATCTACAGCAGGGGTCAGAACTTGAGTACCACAATGGTGGACAATTACATATCATTGTGTGATAGAGTGGAAGCTTTAAGGAAAAAGAAAATGGTTTGCATGGCCAAAAAAGAACTTGTATAGCTGCATCTCTCACAAGGTAACTTGGAGATATTCAGTAATGGACTTCCCCAAATTACCATTGATCAATGTGAGGTTCAAGAAGAAATTGTTACGATTTAAGTTAGTTTCCCCATAGACCTTCTTAAAGGGAACCCAGCCTCTAAAACCACCTAGGGAATAAGGTATCAGACTAGCTTTTTCCTGTTAGTTAAGATTTTGGTTTTTTTCTTAGAGTTTTTCCCACAAGTGCAAGATCAGACAAACCAAGTGTTTGTCTTAGGAGGCAGTTCCACCGCCATCAGGGATAAAACCTTGATCTCCTTGCGTTGGTTCAACCTTTTTTGAAGGCTAGTCAAGCTGGTAGAGTAGCACATTTTGTTCTCACAAATTCCAAAATTTAATTAATGATGGGGCTTAAAACAAGTTGGCCAGCATGTCCCTACATCAGGTCCACAGCGTAAGGACAACAAAGGAATCTTACTCATATAGATAATTCACGGTATCGTGTCTGCAGTTGAAGGATAACCAAATCCTTCTTGATCAATGTATATATTGACAAAGATCTCTAGCTTAACCATCTTGGATAAGATAGCTGGGCTGAGCTTTGGAAATCTTTCAGGTCTTACTCAATCTGGGTCTCTCTAGATGGGCAACACTACAACTTTTGTCTAGCAGGCTGGTAGACCCTAAGTTGGAAAAGGCTGCTGTGCAATTCAGCTCTTGGGTAGTATCTTCCAGCTATATATTTTAAGAAATAATTTAAGCACTACAATTGCTGTGACAACATCCACCATCGGGTTGCAATCTAGACTACAGCTTTATGTGCTGGAACTAACTAGATGATAAAGAAGAAAAACAGAGGTCACAGGTCTGAAAATAAAACCTGGGACTCCAAATTTTAAGATTTAAAATATGCAACTTCAATGTTAACACAGACAAAAAACCAAAGAGAACTGACTCAATTTTATGCAAGCATGTTTGTGGCAGATGG